TTTGGAATATTGTATATATTTTTTGTATTTCATCACCTTATTTGCTACCTCATCCATAAAATTTCCTTTCCGTCCTGTATCTAGTGTTGCTAATCTCGCTTAAAAATATGGAAGGTGATTTTTGCATGTGATTCTTTGAGAAAAAGAACCCTATTATTTGGTTTTTCAATTTTTGTTGGCTAGTTTTGGTAAGTCTATGATTAATGGCTAGAGGTTGGTAAGTTAAAATTTATTTGGGACATTTGTGTAAGTTTCCCTTTATAAAAAGGAAATTTTACATGTTATAGCTAAATAATGCACTATATTTATCATAAATCAAAACACTTTTAAATAATTATGATTTATAGCTAATGTTTGTTTTTATAGCAATTTACCATCCACGTACAATTTTCAGATCTCTCCCTCCTCCTCACAATCCTAAGAACCATTTTCTCTCCCAAAACCTCTTTGCCGCAGCCATCAGATCGTTGCCACCGCCATCGACGATAATCGCCGCCACCGACCGACGGTCTCCAAACGGTCTCAATGTATCTCTTGCTCTCATCCTTCTCTACATGAATTCACAACCCATTTCTTTCAGTTTCTCATAGAACTCGGTAGATCTAAGATAAATCAAGAAAAATCAGAACTTTATTTCTCAGATTCGTTGAGTTCCGACCACTTTCACCCCATGAAATATACATGAAAGGATAGACCTTGGGCAGATCTATCTTTTGACATTTTTTTTATTCCAAAAATTCAACAAAAAAATTTCGGCGAGCTATCAGTGAAGCGCCAGAAAATATATTGTAAATACAATGTATTATTTATGTATTCTCTAATTTTAAGTGTAAATACAATGTATTTATATTTTGTTGGAATTTCTAATTGTATTTCTCAAATCTAGCCGGATTTAAGTGTATTCTTTATTTTTAAGTGTAAATACAGTGTATTGTTTATTTTTAAGTGTAAATACAGTGTATTCTTTATTTTTAAGTGTAAATACAGTGTATTCTTGTATGTCACGACCTGGCCGGTCATTTTTTACTTTCTAGATCCCTCCCTAATTAAGACTTTACGTATGTGATTTTATTGTTTTATGACTTGCAGGGATGGTTAGTTCGGGTTTGGAAGGGTTCAGGTTGAAATTGGAACACTTAGTTCCTTAATATTGGCTTAAAATGGTTAAGTTTGACTGGAGTCAACGTTTTGAGTAGACGACCTTGGAATCGGGATTTGACAGTCCCATTAGGTTCGTATGATGATTTTGGACTTGGGCGTATGTTCGGATCGGGTTTCGGATGACTCGAGAGCGTTTCAGCGTTTAATATTGAAAGTTGGCGCATTGAAGGTTTTCAAGTTCTTTGAATTTGGTTTGAAGTAGGTTTTGGTGTTATCGAGGTCCGATTGGGATTCCGAGCCTGGGAATACTTCTGTATGGTAATTTAAGACTTGCACGCAAAATTTGGTGCCATTCCGAGTAGTCTAAGTAGGTTTTGGCGCATTCGAAGCTAGTTGAGAAGTTTGAAGTTCATAACTTGATTCAATTTGATTTGGGATGCGATTCTTAGTTTTGATGTTGTTTTACACGTTTCGAAAGTTCGAGCAGGCCGTATTAGGTTTTTGGACTTGTTGGTGCATTTGAACGGGGTCCCGGGTGGCTCGGGTGAGTTTCAGGCTGCCCAGAGCTAAGTCAAAATGCTGTCACTACTGGTTCTGGTTTCCTTGTTCGCGATCGCGGGGGAGGGGCCTTCGCGTTCGCGTGAATAGGCCCGCGTTCGCGTAGAGGAGGCTGGAGCCAGGTGGAACACTGGTGGTCTTCGCGTTCGCGAAGAAGCCCTCGCGTTTGTGTAGGGCAGGTCAGGCGAGCCTTCGCGTTCGCGAGGCCCTGGTCGCGTTCGCGATGGTAAGAATTTCTATGCCTGGGTTGTTTGCCTTTGCGATCGCGAGGCCTCTTCCGCGATCGCGAAGAAGGAATGCCTGGACAGAGACTTGTTTTAAAAACGGGAGTTAGGCCATTTTCTCTCATTTTTCATTTCCTTGGCCGATTTTGGAGCTCTTTGAAGAGAGGTTTTCACCTAGCTCTTTGAGGTAAGTAATTTCTAAACCATATAAGTTAAATACATGCATTTTGGGTAGATTCTTAACATATAAATTGGAGAAATTATGGGTTTAGTTGAAAAACCTAGGTTTTGATAAAAATAGGATTTAACCACGAAAATAATTATGGAATTAGGTAAAGATTATATATTTGAGTTCGTGAGGTTATGAGTAACATTTATCTTCGAAAATTTCCGAAATCTGGGCATATGGGCCCGAGGGTGAATTTTAGGAATCTTCCAATTTGGGTTGGATAATTTCTCTAATTGCTAAATTATGAACTTGTGAGTGTATATTGATTAATTTATTTAATATTTGGCTAGTTTTGGGTTGTTTGGCACCAAGTTGAGGCTTTAGAGCGGATTTGTGGAACGGAAGTTAGCTTGAGAACAAGGTAAGTCTCTTGCCAAACCTTGTAAGAGGAAACTCATCCCCTTAGGTGTATCTTGTTATGTATTACTTGTGTGGGGAGCTACATATGCACTAGGTGACGAGAGTGCATGCGTAGCTATACTCCATGAGATGTCCAGGTAGACTTAGATCCATATCGTGCCTTTAAATTGTACTATTGTGATTATTATGCATATTAATTCTCTTGAATAGAACTGAGAATAGGGATTTTAAAGTTGAAATTTTTTTGACTTAGATTTCTTATTTTTTAAAGAATTGAGGAATACTAAATAACTTTGAGAAATAGATGACCTCTCGCGTCGCAAGTACTTCCGCGAGCGAGGTAAACTTCTCTATTCTCATGGGAGCGAGCCTTTCGCCTCGGTAGTATAATAGATGCACCTATGGTTCGTGTCGTTCGACCCTCGACAGTGCACACATTATTTTGGATCGTGTCGTACGACCTCGGAATAAATCGTGCATGATGATACTCGGAGCTCGATTACACTTGATATTATTTTATGACTTGAGAGGGTATAATTTACTTGTTGGCCTAAAATTGATTTGGAGTTAGTATGTGTTAGTTGGAGATTTTGGAATTTACTATCAGTTAAAGAATCATTTATTCACTGCTTGCTATTGTGTTATTATTATTATTATTATTCACATATTCCATGCCTATTTAGAATTTTTGTATTTTATTTGTTGGCCTATAGTAAGTGCCGATGTCGACCCCTCGTCACTACTTCTTCGAGGTTAGACTGGATACTACTGGGTATATGTTGTTTATGTACTCACGCTACACTTCTGCACTAATCGTGCAGGATCTGAGGTGGGTGCATCTGGTGTCCATTCAGGCGCGCACCCTGGTTATCCTGAGGCATAGTGGTGAGATGCTTTCTGAGTACGTTCTGCAGCACCCGTAGTCTCTCTTTTGTATTTACTTTCTGTCTATCCTATTTTAGACAGTAGCCTAGGTGTTTTGTATATACTACTTGTTGCTCATACACTTGTGACACCGGGTCTTGGGAACATGCTAGTAGACACTTTATGGCTTTTGAGTATATATTTCATCATATTTTCTCTTTTATTTGTTTACGCTTTACTTTATTAAATTTTCTACTTTTCATTTACTTAATAAATAAAAATAAACTACTTCAAAATTATTAAAAAGAATAAATACATGACTAGTTTACCGTTGGCTTGCGTAGTGATAATGTTGGGTGCCATCATGGCCTATAGGAGAAATTAGGTCGTGATAACATGGTATCAGAGCACTAGGTTCATGTAGGTCTCACAAGTCATGAGCATACCTAATGGAGTCTTACGGATCGTTGCGAAGACGTACGTACTTATCTTCGAGTGGCTATAGGGTGTTAGGAAACTACACTTTTTTCATCTCCTATCGTGCAGTTGATGTTGTGCTAAGTATCTTTCTCTTATTCTCTCACAGATGGTGAGAATGCGCGCCGCAGATGTACCCGACCGTGGAGGAGCTGCTCCCCCTGTTGCTAGAGGCTGAGGGAGGGCTCCAGCTCATGGTAGAGGACGAGGACGTCCTAGAGTTGCTCCAGTTGTGCCACCACTGGATCCAGTGGAAGATCCTGTTATTGAGGAGCAGGGCGAGGTGCCTGCAGCAGAGCCAGCCCTAGTGGATTGCATGTCCGCACTAGGATTCAAGGAGGTCATGGGCCGTATGCTGCGGTTCATTGATCTTATGAATCAGGCCGGTTTATTTCCAACAAACCCAGCCGCATCTTAGGCGGGAGGGGGAGCAAAGACCCTTACAGCTCAGGCTCCAGGGCATGCAGCTGCCGTATATCAGACCCCAGGCGCACTACCTATGGGCGGAGCTCAGCCAGTTAATACGGCTATACCTGAGCCCAGACCAGCTGCGGCCGGCGAGCTGCAGAAGCTATTGGATAGATGGACCGGGCTACATCCTCCTGTCTTTGGAGGTGAGCGACATGAGGACCCCAGGACTTTATTGATCGTTGCAGGGACAGACTGCACAACATGAGGATATTGGAGTCCCACGGGGTGGACTTTTCCACCTTTTAGCTGGAGGGCGGGGCCCATTGATGGTGGCAGTCCTATCTACTCGGCGGGCCAGCAGGTTCTCCTCCCTTGACTTGGGACCAGTTCACACGTCTCTTTCTAGATAGATATATTCCACCCTCTCAGAGGGAAGAGTTGCGATTTCAGTTCGAGCAGCTCCAGAAGGGTCAGATGTCGGTGACCGACTATGAGATTCTCTGAGTTGTCTCGCCATGCACTTATGATACTCCCCACCGGTGCAGAGAGAGTTCGAAGGTTTGTTGCGGGTTTGCACTTTGTTATCCACGCCACTATGCCCTGAGAGGTTGATATGGGGACTTCTTACGAGCTGGTTGTGGAGATAGCTCGGAGGATCGAGGGTGTTCGTCAGCGGAGCTGAGAGAAGACGCCGAGGGACAAGCGGTTTCGATATTCTAGAGGGTTCAGTGGTGCTCCGTCTGGGGGCCAAGACTGGCTCTTCTGTCATAGGTGCCTTAAGCCCTTCGAATGCCTTTTGACAATATTTTGTCCAAACCCATGGCTTTTTCTTCTTTAGCAACTTGATCAATGGTGCGGCCTTGGCTAAGTAGCCACTGATAAACCAACAATAGTAGTTAGCAAGACCAAGGAAGGATCTTAACTAAGTTACTTTTGTAGGTGCCTCTCACTCTTGGACAGCCCGTACCTTAGCCTCGTCTTCAAAAGCTCCATATCTTATCACATATGCCATCTTCGGCGTATCTCCTTGTGCAATGAGAACCTGGCAGTAGCCCTTGCGGAGATCCACCTTAGTAAAGTGCTTGGATTGACCAAGTCTATCAAATAAGTCAGTAATGAGCGGGATCGAGTAGTTGTTCTTCATGGTGACCTTATTAAGCACCCGATAGTCCATGCACAAGCGCAACGATCCAGCTTTCTTCTTTCGAAGCAACAGCGGTGCGCCAAAAGGGTGTGTCTTCGATGGGCAGATGTGACATACCATACGCTATGGGGCAAATGCAGGAGTAGAGGTTCTCAAAGTGTCCACCTGTGCACATTCCCCGATTTTGAATTATATTATTTGTGACGAGTAGATTTACAATAAGCCTATGCATTTATAGTACATTTAAGTGTGTACTTATATTTATAATCTACTAATTATCGATTATGATTTCCTTACTTGTACAAGTCTTACATAAAACTTGCGCTTCGCTGATGCTTCTTATGGTAATGATAATCTTAAAAAAATAAAAGGAAACAAACAAAATGACGGATCAAAATCGGAATCAAACTTAAATCGAATTTATAATTTGGAATGGGGCCCAATATATCAATTTGCACCTAAAGTCCTTTATTTTCTTTTCATTTTTCTACTTGTGGACACTCCACAACTACTTGTCCATAAACAATTAATTAACAACTTCATCATACAAATAAATAATTGTAACAAGCTAGAAGGACAGTTCTAATTAGATTAGATTAGATTAATCCAGTACCCTCTTGGAGGTGCAAGATATTTATGGATCAATATTCGAATATTATTTTAAACCAAAAAAGTTCTTTTATTCATCTTCTATTAAAGATGCCACATGTTTTCTATGTTTGATGGATATTCTCGTAAAATGACCATACTAGCCTTTACTATATACCGGAGAGAAAATGGTTACTTTGACAAGGAACTACCTTTTTTGGCCTTTTTAAAAAAAAGTTTGAGTTAACGTTTACGCCGGACAAATTACATACATGATTTATCAAATTCATATTTTATTGTAAGAGGAGATTTTTGATGCAAGAGTCCCAAAAGTCATATGAATTCTGAAACAAACTTGATAAATCACTTAACCTATATTTGTGGAACTATTTGTCATAATATTATTAAAATAAAATTAAGATACATTAATTACTCACTATTCAAGTTATTTTCAATAGTATTTTAAGACAACATAAATATCTAGGTTTTGACTTTTTTAGGCAACAAAGCTGGTTACTTAATTCTTGCTTATTAATGAATTGTTTGTGAGCTATATCACGGTTGGTTGGTGATACAAAAATTTCTACTAACTTTATATAATAAGGTATGCTAATAATAAGGAAAAACTTTCTATCGTAAAATTGAGTATGGTCGATAAAATTTATTTACGTTAAAAGACAAAGTAATTTTTTTAATTTTAGATGGCCTAACACGTTTATAATTGAGAAATGTTTTATTTTTATCCACTTTAAAAAATAATAATCGATAATATATATGTGTGCGCGCACGCGTGTATGTGTATTATATACAAATATATATATATATATATATATATATATATATATTTTTTTTTTTTTATACATTTTCAGCTAACAAATATAATTAATTTTAGCCGATTGATCAGTTTTGTATTTTGCCTTTATTATTCGTAGGCCCGATATATTTCCATAAGGAAGGATCTTTGTGATCTACTTTAAATGAAAGATTCTAACACAACCACATTATATTCTTTTTCATCCAAAATTGGAAACTATTATGAAATAATTATTTGGAGAAAATTGTGTTAGGCAACGTGTATTAAACCAAAATCAACACTGTTAAGAAAAACAAGAGGAAGAAGAAATAGAATAAATAATTCCGAATCCACAATTTGCTTGTGTCCTTAAGGAATTTTAACCCCCTCACAGTTGTCAAGGTAATGGATTAAATCCTCCCAGGATAAAACGGAATAAACCTTCCTGCGACAGCGGCAATACTAGAAGAAGGAAACCAACGAACTTAAAGAGCGAAGCGAATCACACTTAGAATTTTCCAAGAACAAGAAAGCACAAGACTTTATGGATTAATAAACTTGTAGAAAGAGGGAAAGTGATTATGTAGTTTTTGAATTTCTGAATTTTTTAGAATGGAAGCCATGCCTGAATTTATAGGCAATTGTTGGCTTTGTGAAAAGGTATGGTGTCTGTTCACTGTGAACAGACATCTGATAGGAAGACAACGTATTGTCTTTTAACGTTCTTTTAACGTTACTAATTAAACTGGGTCAACTAGTTTAACCAAATAAACCGAGTCAGTTTTGAAGCCAAACCCAGTCCATTTAATTTTCCACCATTACCCAATTCACACTACTTATCTTTAAAGCCCAATGGCTTAAAAGTCCAATAAATTGATCTTATAGTATTCTCGTTTATGGTTTTGATGTTAGTCAAACTTTGGTAGTCTTTGAATAGTAAAAAAAAATTCAAATTTGGACGCGACTATTGCTCCGCGACGAATACGGACTCAATCTGCTCCTATCCACTTTGGGGTACCATAGCATGTTGGGAATAAGAGGGGACATACTAAATATAACCACTCATTCACTCCATTTATTGTGTGATTGTGCCACTTTATTTTTCTATGGATATACAGTTAACGAGGCAATCACTAACGTTACAGGTGTGAGAGCGATCCAAAGAACATGACGAGAAATCTATCTCAAGAAAAAACCATTGTAATTTCGCAATTTTGTAAAAGGAGAAATATATCAAAATTTCCGATAGTTAAAAAAGCACTAACATTCTTTTTATTTTTCTTTTTAAAGAAAAAAAAAGAAACTGGACGTTAAAGTCTTTTAAAAAATAGTAATATTTTTGGTTTTTGCAATTTGCAGTAATATTTCCCCCCTCCTTTTCCTTCCCTTTTTCTTTCTCCTTTTTTTTGTTTCCACATTTCTCCACCCCGTGTAGTTTTTTTCTTGTCTTTTTAGCTTCAGATAATCATCACAGCACAGTGAGCACACCATAGAGACATATCTATAAATAGCAAAATAATTATTTTCTTCCTCTGTCGAAATACTCACTCGAAAATTCCCAAATCCTTCCAAAAATTTCTCCATTTCTAGACACCAAAAGGAGGGGAAAAAGAACCAATTTCTTTTTTTTTTTACAATCGAATGTTTCATTCTTGCTGTGTAGAGAATGGAAGCTGATGTTTCTATTCTTTCAATAAAGTAACAATTTTTTTTCCTTTTGAGGGGGTTTTTTCTTGAAAATTGGCAAAAGGGGTTGTGGGGTTTTTGAGATTTGGGACTCAAAGATGGTGTATTGATACTTTTTTCTTCTTTTTGTAAGCTATTTATTGGAGATGAGGAATTTGTGGGTATTTTGGTACTTGAGTTTTGTGTGTGTTTTGTGTACTAGAGTGTTTGGCAATGTGGTTTTGATAGGAAAGAACGTGACTTTATCATTTGAAGACATTGAAGCTAATTTTGGTGAGCTAAAAATCTTAACTTTTGCTTTGCTTCTACCACTATTGATTTGTGTTTTAATATGGATCTTTCTTGTAATTGGTGTTTTAGTTGTATGATGCAATGGTTTGGGAGTGATATTCAATATTAAGTTTGTTTAACTTTAGTGCTTGACCTTTATTTGCTTACTATCAATCTAATTTTACTTGGTTCTCTTTTGGGGTAGTAGTTGTTGTTGCTTCTATTTATTTTCTTCCAATTTTGAGCAAGAAAATGTGGATGGGGTATGGTTTGATTCATGATAATTTAATGCTTGTACTTTCATTGAGAACTTAGTCTTGGTGTTTTTTTTTTTCTTTTAACATATGTTGTCTCTTTGATGCTGTTGTAATTTGTACTAAATGTTTAATATCAGCTCCGTCAGCGAGGGAATCAGGCATATGCGGGACGTTGTATGTGGCAGAGCCTTTAGATGCCTGCTCGACCTTGACTAATAAGGTTGAACCAGCTAAAAACAGCTCCCATGAGCCATTCTTGCTCATAATTAGGGGTCGATGTAGTTTCGAAGATAAAGTCAGACAAGCCCAAGCTGCAGGTTTCAAAGCAGCCATTATCTACGATGATGAATACGGTGATCTAGTTGCAAGTAATGAACTCTTCCTCTTACTTGATATTATTATTGATTTTGTGCTTTCAACTTACCGGCAATTTTTGATTTTAGTTGAAATAATCTGATTCGCTCAGATTCTCTGGTTCAAGTGGGCTATCTTATTTGATACTGAGTTATGTAAGTGGCAAGAGAATGGCTTTTCGATAATTAGTAAGTGGAATATCACTGAAACTGATTCAAGACTAATATCATGTCAGCTAATCTTGATATGTTGAGGCACAAGTAAGGTGGTGTCTTGGAGAGGCAAACAGATTAAACAACTCAAAGAAACTGCTCGAGCTTAGCTATAAAATGTTAAACATAGGGGAAGAAGTTGATCCATGATGAAGAAACTTTAAAGCTTTTACCTGTTTTCAAGTTTCTTGTAATATTTCTTATAGGTCTATGGAGTCCTTTTTTTTGGGGTTGAGAAGGGCTTCTAATTGTCTCCGTAAAGAGTAGTGTTGTCTAAAAGTATTCTTATAAATGAATGGATATTTTGATGAGTATAATCCTTCCTACCTCTTAATAGACCATAATGATTGTGTGGCTTGAACTGGATATCTTTTTGAGGAGGTATATCAACCTTTTATGTTCTTGCACTTTCTTCTTGCATAATGTAGGCATTAGTTGATAGAGTCGATTGAAGAATAAATAAGCAGTAACTCCATTGTTTTCTTTTCAACTAGGATATTTAAAGTTTTAGAAACAAGAAAAAATGGCAGGATAATAATTGTCCAAGTTTCTTTTTGTTTGCTTTCGGTAAGTGATGATCATATGTTATGCCTGTTTTCAGCTGAAGACTTTTGGTTAGGAATTGATAACTGGGTGAAAAGTGCATTTTGAAGAATTAGCACATTTTCACTAACACTGCCTAGTGTTTTTTGCTATGCTGATCTTTTAGATAAGGTGATAAGTTATTGGCGTTTTGAGACTTAAGTCCCTCATGTGCACAAAAAGTAGACGGCCTGCATGAAAATGTTGTTCTTTACAAATATACCCGGTTAAGAAGGCAATATCTCTTTATAAAAAAAAGGGAAGGCAATATGACATTATAAGGCAACACTTCTCTAAATATTATGGACTTCTGGTCATTGACATAAGTAGTATCCGATGTTGATCTTCTATAGACGTCCCTCTCCCCCCCTCCTCCGGGG